TAAAAAATTATTTTTTTTTTTTTTTTTTTTTGCCCCTTGGGGCAGAGCATTGTATTCTGGGATCCTGCCTGCCCACTGTCCCACACTGAGTACCTGTGAAGTGCTGAGAGAACGCTTTTCCCTGGGACATCTGGGACTATTTTAATTGCCGTTCTAGCTGTTTGTCCCCTGCCTGTTTTGATTGAGTCAAAGCCTGGCACAACCAGTTCCAGATAAACAGTTTGTCTGTTTTTAGCTTACCGATGCCTTACCTATGGTGATGCCTAACTTCACAAGTATCACCCAGCTGTGGGCAGCTGTTATCAAGCTCTTATTTTTAACTGTTGTGGTGAATCATGCAAAAGTGACTTGGTAATAACAAGTGCCACATCCTCTGCACATTCTTTCCACAGGCCTAGCTGAGGCACTACTGAAATAGTTTTGGTAGCAGATCCAGGCCCTAAGAAAGAACTTATTCACTCCATGGTTAAAACTGTACTAGCAGCAGCTGTGGTTTATACAGTCTCCTAGCAGAGTTTCTCTGAGAAGCATAGATACGTTTCTTTTCCCGAGAACTGTGTTTATGTGTATACCACGTGTTGTGCAGCACAGTTTTATTAACCCACGTGGGGTGGGGAGGGCAAGCGTCCCTGTCAACACTGATCAGGAAAATGCCACTGGAACCCTACTCCCAACCGTGCTTAGTTACAAGAACTGCTGCTGTCCACAGGGTTTCACAGTGTGGGAGGGAAAGCCTCAACTTCTGCAGGAATGACAATGGTGGTGGGAGCAGGTTTGAAAAATAGGCCTGGGAGAAGGTATGACTGAGCATGTGGGAGGGAATTTGAAATGTTCGAGCTGTCGTGCTTCCCAATGCATTACTGAGACACCTGGGGCAAGATGCTTTCTATTCATACCTCAATTTCCCTTAATCTCTTAAGTGGGGGTGGTGATAGGACACTTCTTTAGAAGGATGCTGTAGGGCACCCTGGCTGAAGTGGGTGGTTGGCCTCAGCTGACTGCAGCTGGGACAAATCCCCAGTGTGAACACATCCAAAAAGACTAGGTTTAAGAACCATCTCTTTTCTACTTCTTCCCCAGGACAGGAGCGCTTTACGTCCATGACCCGGCTGTACTACAGAGAGGCATCAGCTTGTGTGATCATGTTTGATGTCACCAACACCAGCACATTCAAGAACAGCCAGAAGTGGAAGCAAGATTTGGACAGCAAGCTCACTTTGCCAAATGGGAGCCCTGTGCCTTGCTTACTGCTGGCCAATAAAGTGAGCAAGTCTCGATGTGCTTTGTGCATACCTATGCTGGGAGAAGAGGCGTGGGAGGGGAGGATGATGGGGGGAGGTTAATCTAACATAGGGAAGGAGACCTTCCCCACTGAACGTTGCCAGAGTACCTTGGAGCCTTGCTAGTACTTTCCTGGTCCATTGTGTTGCACCTTCCTTCCCTTAATTGGCAAGGGCCTCCTGAGCCAGGACCAGGGCGTTCATTATTGGCCTTGGTTCTTATGTGAATGAAAAACTCTGAGGAGAGTGAATCTGTTTGAGAGGCCTGGCTGTCCCACGACTAACCAGGCACTGGGGCAGAGTTTGCTCCTAGAACAAAAGCAGTATTGCTTGATTCTCTGAGGAAAACTAGTCCCAGGAACAGTTTGGGGGAAGGAAGAAGTCAAGCCCTGCTAGGAGCATTCTCCAAATCCACTCCCCCATTCTCCACCCCCCCCAAGTCATGATTGCTCCTGTTTGAAAGCGTGTTAGATAATTATGTGACGTGGAAATGGTCCAGAGAGGTAAGTCCGTCTGGCCAGGGATTCCTTGCAGAATTGGCCTCTGCCTAGCAAGATATCCTTTTTCTGGTTTGATTTGCGGCTGGCTCGCCTGGCGGCATTTCTCACTATTGGTTTGTTTCATAGCAGCTTTAAAATGGTGAGTTTGGCACAAGCAGTTATATTTTTTTTTCCTCCTTGCCCTAGATAAATGCTAGAGAATGTGTTGTAGAGAATAGTATTGTGCTGACAGGAAGATGGACCAGTTGCAACCCTACGCAGGGCCCCTCTATTTCAGGATTTGATCCTGCCATGCATGACTGTCACGTTTGAGCTCCTTTCACCTTTAGTTTAGACGATTCTCCTTGTGCATCTTGAGCCAGCAAAACGTTTCACTAAAGACTGGTTGGAGGAGATATTTGTCATGTCCTTTTGTGGCCAGATTTTCAGATTCCATCTGTGCCAAGGGCTCAGATTGTTTGCAAAGTGAGATCAAAATCCATTAATGAATGAATGAATGAATGAATGAATGAATGAATAAGCAGTTCAGGCTAAAGCCTAAATATGGTTTGGCTTTTCACTGCAAATGGAACTATGCTGTATTTAACCTGTGTTCTATCACTAGCTGTTCATGTAAGCTACCATGATTTATAAACTGAACTTAAAAACTGTTTAAGATGGTGACTAGGCTACTTATTTAAAAATCATCACCCTGGCTTTAAAAAAAAACCAAAAAACCAGAAGCTCCTTTAGCAAACATTGATCTCATCCCTGTGTAAAAGGAGTTAGGTCAATACTGACTATTTTCCAGAATTGGAGCCTTGTTTGCTGTATGCTGCTAAATGATCACTGGATCTTGGCCCATTAGTTGGGCCCAGTTCAGAGCAGCTGGTAGAGAACTGGCAATGAAGAGTGCTCAGACAAGGAGGCCATCTCGGGAATCTTCCTTCTGCTGTATTGTCAGAGAAGGCTTGCAAGGCTTTTCCACCCACTCAGGTCTTACATCAGTTTAGGAAGAGCTGGTATAATAGGACAGTTAAAGCAGGAGTATACGACCAATCTGATGTTTTCCAGTTACTTTGAATTTGGTGAGAGAGGTGCCCTCGGTTTCAGTGTGTAAATCATTTGCAGCTTTCTCTTGTGTTTAAAAATTACCTTCAGTAATACCTTCACACTACAGAGCTTTCTCTTCTCTGTTCTAATATTGGCTCAAAGGATCTGTTTAAGGTTCAGCTTGAGACTTGTACAGTTTGAGTGATGAAGTCTAAAGTCTGAAATTGGCCAACAACCAGTTATTAAAGAGGTGATAAAGGGAACAGCTTGTTTTACAGGCGTGTACTTTCCCTGGCGACTTGTTTGAGAGGGCTGCCTCTTGACAGCGGACTGTAAAGAGCTTGGGCTCTATCTGCACTAAGGAAGTGTGTACAGCAGTGTAACTAAAACAATGTAACTGGATGTAGTGCAACCCCCTGGAAACAGACTGCACCTGCGCATTGTACTTCTCTGATTGCTTCAGTGCAATAGCAGTGATGGGTACAGTCCTGTCTATGAAATTGCAGCAATTAAATTGCTGTTTTGGATGAGTGAGAACTGTTGCTTTTCCCGCTCTGGAAGGATCTCCAAACCATCTGAGTTTGTCACAGGTATCTCAACCCAGATAAATGCATTAGCTTTTACAAAAAACCTGTGTACCAACAGCTCTAAGAAATCCCTGTTATATCATAGTCTGTGTGGAGGGCTATCTGAACAAAGACAAATGAATATGGCAGAATAAAGCTCACTCTTCTTGTTTAAGATTGAAAAGGATAATTTGAAGTGACTCTCTTGTTTTACAGAGTGACCTTTCCCCCTGGGCAGTGACCAGGGAAGAAATAGATCAGTTCAGCAAGGAGAATGGCTTCTCTGGCTGGATTGAAACATCTGTCAAGGAAAACAAGAATATTAATGAGTCTATGAGGTAGGTGTAATTGCTTTTGGTGATGCATAAGAGGGTTAACTCCCCTCTCTTCCCAATATCTCTGTCTTATTGGATACTAATTACACCAACAGCAGATAACGGATAGCAGCAATAATGTATTCCTAAATCTCCTAAAGGGAAACTGCAGTCCAAAGGTTGGGAGTTCTTTTCTCCTCATTTAAGATGTGGCATGCCTTGGAAAATAACGTTCTTTAAAAACAGTATAATACATATTTTCATCTGCTGGTCTTTACTAGGAGAACAGGTGCTATTATGTAAGAAATTAGATGTTATGGCATGGCATTTCTTCAGTAGAGTTATGTCAGCAGATAATTTGGCCTTTTAATTTTTATTATGGCTTATGAACAGGTGTAAGATTGTCGATACTGGGGACCAATATAATGGTCAAGCCATGAAAATGCAGGTTTCTCTACAAAAGCCTGGCAAGTGCCTCAGTCCTGAGCAGGAAGGGACCTGCATCCAAGGTTAGATGGCTCCTTTGGTCTCTGTGGTTTATACAGCCATTGACTTCTCTTATGATGCTGCCAGTGAGTCTCCAGCACTGGTATTGTCTGTGATGGGGATGCGAGATTGGGTCTTCTGAATATATGGCCTAGTGCCTTACGACTTGAACTCCTGCAGTAACGGCAAGATATTTCTAGTCACATATTTGACTATGGCTGTGTGGTCCATTGCTGCCTTATAACATCATCTTTTGTTGTTTTCTAGGGTTCTGGTGGAAAAGATGATATTGTCATCCACAGGTGATAGAGACTCCTCCGTTTCTGGCCAGGGGGATTATATTAATCTAAAGGGTGCCTCCTCACCTGGTTGGGCTTGTTGCTAGTTGCACTTTCTTCTCTGTCTGCTTCAAACCCAATGGGAATCTTTCTTCATTCCCCATACACTTTTTTTATTCAGCATTGGCCTTTTTTACATGATCTTCCATTATTTCCTGTTCACTGCATGCTCATATTCAATAAAGCATTGCTTGCAGCGACCTGGGGAGAATTTCTCTTTAGCTGACTGGCAACCAGAAGCTCTGCCGCAAATCCACTCGGTCAGCTCCTGTGGTTCTGTTCAGCTGCATGACTTGGGTTAACACCTTTTGAAGTAAGAGTTCTCTGCTTCCTCTTGTAACCTGACTGGATATGAATGGAGGAAGTAATTATTAGTATTTGCACTTTCCAACTAAACAGAGCCGCATCCTTCTTTGAAAAGCTACTACAGCAATCTTTGTTATGAAAGCAAAGATCAAGCAGTTTGCCTGTGTCTCTGGATTCCCAGTGTGGCATTACGGTAAATCCTCT